CTCGAACCCCACCGGGATTTCGGGAGATGCGCAGATGCGTGTGTGAATTGTTCTGCCAGTTGTTGAATATCAGTATAACAGATCTACGCAGCCCGCTAGTGTCTGGATCTCAAACTTTCCATATGTAAATATCAAAATTTGCTCTGTTTGTGTTTTCGCCTCTCACTGATACGTTTGCTGGCACGAATACACTTTTAACCAGTCCTTTAGTATTGCAAAGGAAACTAGTTGGATGTGACATATGAGGTGTCTCTTGACTGGACAGAAGAAGACTAACAAAACACTTACTTGCTAAACATCTACTTGCCGCTACTCAACGCTTCTTACCACCTCTTTAACAGACGGGCATCATCACCAGTTGATATTCAAGTTAGAGGAGAGCCGATTTGATTCCATATGTAATGGTGGAAATCCGTTCGATTACTTGCCATCCATCACCTCATGCTGTTGTTCTTGTCAGGACGAGCACCATTAATCAATTCATACATATTTCTACAAAAAAGCTAGTTCATTTGCTTACTCACCCACCATGTCATAAGCAGAGAACTAGCAAGATACTTGTTTAAGGCACTTTGGCGTCGATTTCGGATGAGGACTAATTCCTTTCAGGCAAATGCAAAGGCGTCTAGTTGGACGCACGAATTGGAGATGGTGAGGTAGTAGAATGAACAGAATGGGCAATGTATGAAATATCCTTGGTGCATTATCCACATTGTCCAGTTGCAATTGGTTTACTCAACACCAAGGCGGACGGAATCGTACGCTTAAGAATGATGAGACGAATACTATCCAGTGTTGGAAAAAGCAATTAACTTGGTCTAGTCTAAAATCCTGAATGCCATACAATCACGGGGTGTATCGAATGGCCCTGTGCGTGCCAAAATAAGAAGTTGAACTAGTAGAGAATGGATGGGCATTGCTGAGGGAGGGTAGCTGAATGCCAACACCAGCAAATAGTCGGCAGATGCCGTCAGTGAAGTTACCTTATAAGTAGTGGAAGGCGAAAAATACACTTTGAGATTGCGGCATGCACCATATCCCTACCATGATAATTTACGCAGGTGGATTGTTGGGATTTGCTGCCATCACTTTGGGGCAAAATAAATGTCAGGCATGGCCCTTGAATGCCAGTTACTGACTTGGTGTTAGTAGCATGATTTATCAAAGGCTGAAATGAGCACTGTGGTGGTGACTGATCAGACTCATGTCAGTTACCTCCTCTCTTAGCAAACGACAATTCTGTGCTACCATTTGTCTCGGATTGGAGGGGCATGACAACCACCATTTCGGAAGCAATGCGCTGCATCCACTACTCGTCATTCGTCCTCGACAAAGTCTTGTTCCATGCATGTGGTCTTAAATACAATGATTTGTGTTGCAGTGAGAGGAAGTGTGGTGAGAGCTGGGGCCATTTGATACTTGCTGAATGAGGAAAAATCTGCAAAATTACTGTGGAAACAATGCTTCACAACCGTTTGGTGACTCAGACCATCACGTCATAGCCAATTAAGACGAGGATGTTCCATCCACTGCTACCTGCATAAAAGCTACCATGGCTGCCTGACCACCAAGTTTCAGCCTCTCTAATCTTCATCTTCACCGCGAGTGCACCACCCCATCCACACACAAGACAAAGAGCATGCTGGCTTGGAGTTGACGGTCTCCTACCTACGCCTTGTTCAGTCCTAAGCATCTGGTGCCTTGCCGCAGATCCTAGTAACTCATCCGCTGCATGATCGGGGATACCATATGTGGAATACCCGAAATTCAAAAGACTGCTCATGTATTATTCAACTTGCTTCTGCATTTACATGCAAGAATGTACAAGCCTGCTAGCTAATTTTATTTCAGCCAGGTAAGATGCAAGCTGAGCAAATTAAATACCACTGATTGGGACATCTTTGCTCATAAGGTAGCTGCGTTCGAGGCTCCGCGTCACGAGGTTAATGACTTACAAGACAGAGGACAAGCCTTTCAAAGCGTGTGCTGGGAGTGTTTGACAGGGAAGAAGAAGAAGGAGACGTTGGCGAATGGCATTCAAAGCTTTTATACGGAAACGATTGCAATTGACTACATGTCAGTCGTTGATTATGATCACTCGGATTGCTGCTACTGATGCTGCCTACCACCGCTGTTGACCTCCTTTTTGACGTCTGGGATGGTGGTCACGCGAGAACGCGAGTGCGCGTTCATGCATCTTTTTGGTCAAGAGCACGTGTGTAGAGATTGTTTATGTAAATTGCGTAAAAGTGGTGAAGAACACAAAATAGAGCTCCTGTTGCCTTGCCAACTCTCACCTGCTGATGGATTGCATTTGTAAAAGGGCACTTTGCCTAACTGATATCTGTTTGAACGACCTATTGGGTCACTAAATTTAAGTGTCTACAAGTTGCAATTGACACAGGATAGTCTAATTGGAGGTACATTCTCATCCAGTATCGCATCATGTGGTGAATTGCAACCGGGGTCAAACTGCTTGGTGGCAAGTTCTACTACCGCCTAATGCCCCTTTTGGGTAGCATAAGCACAAGCTGTCGAGGGGTTTCTATGGCACCGGGCCACTACTAGGTCTTCAGGTGTCTCTTTGCAGCTAGTACTGTGCGTTGTGCTCCAGTGGCCTCACCGCCTTCATCAAGCCTGTGGCCACCTCCTCAACCCACACCTACCCCTCCCCAAATCACAGTACCACAACAGGAGGAGGAAAAGTTGGTTTTTCAGTATAGGCCAGCTGCATTTCCCTAACTCTCGCTACCCAGTTTTTCTCATCATTTCCCATCAGAACTTGGAGAGTGCGTCCTTACATCCTTTTAGTTGGCATCTCTGCCTACACACTGATCCATTCGCTGATTCGCCTGCTTTACATTCACCTCCTTCTGCTGTCTATCCAGTTCTACATCGGCAAATCTCACGTCCACTAATGGGGTGAACGGTAGATTCTTGCCAACAGCTAGGAGTGAATGCAATGTTTGATTCTATTTGGGACATTACTTTGGCTACCTGTAATCTACTCTCTATCTGTGTGGCTATTTCTCTCTACACCATTCCCTGTTATGAATAACATTAGGGGTATACGAGGAAGGAATTACCAAATCGTCTTATTTGACGTTATAGGCGAAGCTTTTCAGGTAGAAATGGCCAATCCTTATTAAAAGCGCAAATGCGCTGAATCGTAGCATTCAACTCTTGTTAATTTCCTGAAGAAGTATTTCAAGAAACCTTAGCAGGATGTGCGTAAATGAGGTCACATGGGATGAATGCGTTTACAGAAGCGATATTTAAAACATTTGTGCAAAGCATTATTTTGGTCAAACCCTCAATGGCCGA